CGAAGTAATTGCCAGTGCCCACCTTGATGTGACTGGACCACTGAATGTGTACTATGCACCAGCATTCATTTCAAGTATTTCAAAGTACTTTCTACCACATGCTACCTTGTGGTCAGGAATGCTGCTTGGTATGTCTTGTTTTGGTCAATCAACACTTATATGTTGTTATTTATGTGCTTTGTTGATTAAAAATTCTGTCTTTTCTTTAGGAGACCTTGGACGGCATGGGAAAGGCTCAGCGTATCGCTTTCTCAGTAAACGGTACAATCATGTGTCGAAGTTTAAGAAGCAGGTAGAATAAGTTAATACAGTAAAAGAAACATTATGCTGAATTCGGCCAAAGTGTAAATGATGTAATTAACATTTTCAGAACTACACTGAAGACAATCGAACGCAAGGGATAATGGAAAAAAGTCAATGGGACCTGAAAAGGATTCGCTTTGAACGAAGGCGTCTCACTAGACTAGATGACTTTGTGCAAATATATCAAAGGAAACATGATGCTCTTCTCCGAGAATATGGCGATGTAGGCAAAAAAAGGAGGAAGGTGAGGTTTAAATAGGATAATTTAAATTTTGGGACAGATTTTGTGCAGTTTTTACACAACAACAGTCATTCGCACTGCTGCTTTTGAATTTATCAAATCTGTAATGTATATTCACATTCACATTAGAAATGTTTTTTTCTCTTTGTGCATTCTTTAGTCTAAAATGTCTTTGGTACTGTCATTGTGACTTTGTGTTATTAACAAACATTTTCTCAACTGCATTACATGTGGTTAGAATGACATTTCAGACGTGATAAATATAGGAGATTATTAGACTAACAACTGTAATTAAACAAAAGACAGGAAGCATTAAGCATTTTACGGTAACTAAATTTGGGATTACAGTAAATGTCCTTGACGGTTTGCATGTTTGTAATCTTTTAAACAAGAAGATCAGATCTAAAAAGTATTGTTAATTATTTAAAAATTATACTTTTCAGTCTTACCGAGTGGAGACCGAGAAGTGGAAGAAAAAAAGTCGAAAACGAAAAGGCTTCTATGTAACTCCTCCGATGGGAAAACGAGTCAAACAGGTAAGGTATCATAATTTTTTCTATCATCTATGCATGTCACTAAAACATTTTCTATTAGAAAGGTTGTGTGTTCTAATCAAATTTTAATGTGTACTTTGCTTTTCTTTTTTTTACAATTGTTCAATTAGTTATGTAAAAAATACTGTAATCTTACTGTAATTCTCTTTATGCTCCTGTGATTTAATTCATTTTATGCATATTTATGAAAGTAAATAACGATGTTAACTATACATAAATGTACAGTAATTATAACTCATCTATGTGTTAAAAATGTTTTGTATACATCAAATAACCATGTTAAGTCCCATAATACATTTTATAATTAAAAACATCATTAGTCTTTCACAGCTTTTAGGAAAACTTTGTTAATGAAAATCTTGATATTGTACACTCTACACATGGCAACAGCTACCCATAAAATACTTGATGTTAGTGAAATAATTATCATTATTGTTAGTTATTGCTGTTGTAGAAGACCATTTATATCACTTAAAATTTTGTTCGGAAAATGCAGTAACATATAAACACAAAGACTGTATATTGTCTAAACCTATGTATGTATTAGAGATCAAGAATAATTTAAGTTCTGCTAAAGACATACATTGTCATGTGTGTTCTGTAATTAATCTGTGTTCTTCCATGTAAAGTAGTAATTATATTATTTTTATAAGGATCATCAAGAAGAACCACCACACTCAGATGTGCCCACAGAGCAGACTGAAGCTGTCACTAAACAGGTTTGATATATACATACACAACACCCAGCACGCCCCTGCGGGCGGTTATTTATTTATTTATTTTTTGTATCCTTCAAGCTCGGGTCCTCTACCAGAGGCCTGGGAGCTTGAGGGTCCTGCGCAGTATCTTAGCTGTTCCCAGGACTGCGCTCTTCTGGACAG